AGGGAGGAGGGCAACCCTGTAGGAGGACCAGCAGTCTCAATTAACCTGGAACCCAGAGATCTCTCAGACACTGAGCCACCAACCAGGCAGCATACACCAGCTGATATGAGGCCCCCAACACATATACAGCAGAGGACTGCCTGGTCTGGATTCTCTCAGAAAAGATGTACCTAACCCTCAAGAGACTGGAGGCCCCATGGAGTGGGGAGGTCTGGTGGGGGTTCGGGGGTTTGAACGGTGGTTGGGGGGGGCATCATTGTGGAGACGAGGGGTCTGGGGAAGGTATGAGGTATGAGATATGGAACAGTCAGAGGGTGGACCAAGAGGGCAAGAAAACCTGGAGTGTAAAAAAAAAAATTAAATAAAAAGGAGGAAAAAAAATATATATATATACACACACACACCCCTAAACAATGTCATCAAATGCCTAAACCATTCCAAAGTCTAGACTCTGCAAACTGGGACACACTGAGAAATGTGGTAAAAAATGAAACTAAATTTTAGAAGGAACAAAAGTAAAGACCTGACGTTTTCCAGGAAGCCCTTCAGTTCCACTCTTATCTTTGAAAAGCAGCTTGGGCAAGGCCACCTCTGCTGTACACCGCTTCCCTTCCACGTAAGCTGAGTACTCCCAGGAGTCAACGGCCAGGCTTCTAATCAGATGAGTATCTCTGGAAGCCAGAAGCAAGTGTCCACGCCTACCCTCCATCTCCACCACCTTCTTGTTCTGTAGCTCTGCCTCCCCCTTTATCCTTTAGTTTAATTTAGGATTGTGAATATTCTTGGTATGTTATTATTTCAAGAAAAGGTTATGAGACATAACCCTTTCTGAGGAAGGTTGTGAAGCCAAACTATTTTTAAAACAAAACTTCTTTATACTTTGACAAAGTAATTTGCGTAAATGTCAGCGGAACCGAGCAAATGTTATGATGTTCCTCCTGATGTCATGTGATGAAAAAGGGACTTCAACTCAGGAACACCCAAACCAAACACCCATAAACCTATACTAATTGTGAGAAAATGTAAGGTAAGCCCCAACTAGGGGGTGCATCCTACACAAGGTTTAGGATTTTATTTTTTACATGTATAATGGTGATCAAAGGCAAGCAGAGACTGAAGAACTGTCTTCATGAGGGGAGACTCAGACACCTCTGTGAGTTTGTGATCCTCATAATCTGATCCAATGCCACTGCACAGCCCCACATCCAGAAACACATACAGAACATAAATCATAAAAAAAAGAAGACGAGGACCCAAAGGTGGGTGGGGTGCGGAAGTAAAAGAAGATCAAGGGGGAATTTAATTAGGAGTGGGAGGTGGGTTGGTTAAATATAATAAAATACATTTATGAAATTCTCAAAGAATTAATAAAAAAAGTATCAGAATAAGTAGGTTCATGAAATTATTGTTTGCACTCTGGAGCAGAAAAATATAAAAAGGTGCTAGAAAAATCTAGAGTTTTCTAAAAGTGTTACATGAGTGTAATTCTGTTCTTATATAACTATATATTGTAATTATAATGTCGTGTTAGAGATTAGTAAGAGAAGCTGAATGAAAGGCCACACGAAACTTTCTGGTATCTTTGGAAGTCTTCTATAAACCTACAATCATTCCAAATGAAAACTCCAGACACTGGGGGTGGAGTAAGAGAGGGTTCTGAGGCTGTGGTGGTGCTAATTCCAACATAATTTGTTGACAGGAATATGCAAAAGAAAATTAACCGTCCAACAGTGGCTCTTAGTACAGTTTCCATCAATTGAGACAAAGTAATTTTCTCACTTTCCTAAAGCCACATAGCAGGTGAAGGCGAGCCTTCACCCAGCTGGGAACCTGGCTACTTAATTTATGATAGTTGGCAGCTTTACCTCACTAATTAAAAGGGATCAGAAGAGAGCTAGCCTGTGTTTCAGAAGATGTGGCACTGACGAACACCACAGGCCTCCCGTTTGCCCTCTTACATCTTCAGAGAGAGATTTTTGGAAAAGGCAGTCAGTGTTTCCGGACACACACTGTCCAGTTTGCCTGCAGTCAAATCTCAGGTCCTTCCAAGCATGCTGATTTGAGCTTAGTAATCAATTTTGCTCCAGGTGTGGAAATAGTGATGACAATCCCTTGTTGTTAGAATAGTGACAGAGCCTACAATATCTGAGTTACTACTAAGATGCTACAGTGTTTTATTTGTGATATATTAGATTATGGGTCTTATAGCAGTATGTGTCTAGACTGTATACACATATACACATACACATATACAGAAATGTTGAATTCATTAAAGTCAGGCTACCCCTCTTTTCTCACTCACACCATTTCAACTGCTCTCTAATCCCTTCTTTCTTCTTCAAGCCATCACAGTTCATCTCTTCTTAATGACACTAATCACTTTTTGTCCCCAGAAGGTAACAGGTCAGTTTGAGGTTTGTTTCTTTGCTTGGTTGCTTGTTTTTCCAGCATCTTTTTTTTTAGGTTCTTTATTTTAAAAAAAATCATACAATATATTTTGATTACATTTCCCTCCCCCATCTCCTCTTAGAGTCTCCCTACCTCCCTCCCCTCTCCCACCAGCTCCACGTCCTCTCTCATCTATCTGTATTGCTCTATGTTTTGTTATCTTTCCCCTTTCTCTCCAAAAGTTAAAAGAAGGAAAGAAAGAAAGAAAGAAAGAAAGAAAGAAAGAAAGAAAGAAAGAAAGAAAGAAAGAAAGAGAGAAAGAAAGAAAGAAAGATCAAAACAAACAACAAACCAATAAAATAAAAATACCAAAACAGAAACAGAATAAAAGACTCACAAATGTAGAAACCACCATGGAGTCTGTTTTTTGTTGGCCAACTATTCCTAGACATGAAGCCTGCCCTGGAGTATGATTGACATGCTCACTGACAAACCATTGGGGAGAAAAACTGATTTTTCCCTTTCCTAGGTTTCAGTTGTAGATGTCTTCATGGTTCAATGTGAGCTTTGTACTCACTTCTCCTTCTCAATGCTGGGGATTTTATGATGTTGAACCTGTGCAGGTCTGACACATGTTGTCTCCTATCTGTGAGTTCCTATTTCCATCAGTCGTGTTGCAGATGGAGGCTGCTGTTTCTTAGAGTCATCCACCACCTCCAGTCCTTACAAACTTTCTGTCTTCTCTCCCCCATAGATTCCTGAGCTTTGAAGGGAGATATTTGATGAAGACATCCCATTTAGGACTGAATGAAAGACTATGGAGCAAAGCAAGTACTTTACCCAGTGAACCATCTTCAGGCGTCCCAAACTATGTTTTGTAAAAAACAAAAGCAGTTGACAGGTTGTAGACTATAAATGATCTATCAGATATTTGCACTTTCCTCCATGTTTTGCACAGAAAATTTTGAGACTGGGTTAAGAGACAGCAATTTTGTTTATCTGCTATCTTTATATTCTCAAAAAATAGATCTATTCTAGTAGAAGAAAAATCTCAGGTCAGAGGAAAAGTCTCCCATCCACATGGTAGTTTGGGGTTGCATAACAATTTATTGATAGCATTTGTCAAGATAATAGCTCAGCTATTTCTCTGATTAAATTCATTCTCTTCTATTATAAGGTGAAAATATGCATTCTAATACATTTTTGTGTATTATGTATTGAAAGTTGTGTAAATTAATATAGGGTGGTTAGAATGAGAATGGGCTACAATGGGCCCATATCTAAATGTTTGGTCCCTAGTTAGTGAAACTGTTTGGTAAGGATTAGAAGGTGTGGCCTTGTTGACATAAGCCTTGTTGAAGGAGGCGTGTCACTGAGGTGGGGCTTTGAGTTTGGAAAAGCCTCAATGCATCTCTCTCTCTGCCTGCAGTTTAGGATGTAAAGCTGTCAGTTACTGTTCCATTGCCATCCCTGTCTGCTTCCTACAAATTTCCAATTAAATGCTTTATTTTATAAAGTTTGTCTTCGTCATGATGTCCTTTCACAGCAATAGAAGAGTGACTAAGACACAGTGTAAGTGGTTTAAAAAAAATCACCAGGCAAAGCTGGTTCTTAATGTGATATATATTCTTTGTAGCCAATGAGATAACAACCAGCATCCTCAATGTTGTATGCATACCCCCTGAAGACACAGACAATCAATAACACAAATTTATTTCTAGGCACCTCATTCTTCCCTTCCAATCTCACTATTTTCCAAGTTTGCTTAACAAATTGACATACCCTAAATATACTGTGTTTTTCTAAGATGTATTCTGTTCCATCTATGTGTTAAAGAGAAAGCCCACTAAGTTTCCATACCAATTCAACTTTATAATCTAGTTATTCTAGCTTAAGATAAAGTGTATTAAAAGTAAAGTTATGCTTTGATAGAACGTATGTTCTCTAAATACTTCAATAAACCGTAGACATATTACTTACCATTACAAGTAACAGTAGCACTCACATTATTTAATTTTTAAATATATGTTTATAGGGCACACTATGGTAATGCCTATGCAGTTGCTAAATATTATACATATTAGTCCAATAGAATCCCTAAGTATTTCCAATTTTGTCTAGCATGCATTTACTATGATGAGAATTTGGGACTATTCTAATCATCTTAAATATGTCATCTAAATGTTCTTTCATCCCTTATTTGTTTTCATACAACCCCTTGCTTATATTTCTACTTTCTCAAATAAATTTCCCATTTGTTCAAGGAAATCGGTAAGCCCATTATATATTTTGTTCAAATCTGCATTTTTATAGAGCCTAGTAGAATGTTCTATGCATAATAATCATCAAAGAACTGTCTATTGAAACTAAACACCTACACAGCATATCTTTTGGTTTCCCACATCCTACATTGTATGGGACATTAGCCTCTTCCAATCTACAGAGCATATTCCCCAACATTCAAAATAATTACATAACAGAATTTAACATTTCCAGTGGGTGGAGCATTTTAGCTCCATGGGGTGCTCTGAATGCTGCATGTGCAACCGAATTCCACACAGAGAAGTCGTCTGTGCTTATCAACACTACACAGCCTGTGAAGCCCTCACTGCAACTCTGTCCTTTACCACAGTCATGAGGTTCAAATTCCCTCTCTTGGCCATAGGCCTGGAAGTGGTTATGATTGTTTTATTTGCATTATTTGTTGAATACGAGACACAGCAGAATGCGCCCCAGCAGAATGCTTCCCAGCAAAATGCTTCCCAGCAGGGTAACGCTTCAAGTCCATCAAAGGAGGACCAATATTTTCAGTTGTATCCCTGTGAGTAAACAATTTACTTTTTATACTCCTTTGGCTTCTTCAAGGTCTTTCTGTAAATATTTAAATATGTTAATATTTATTATTACATTTTTAAGGTACTGATAGAATTGTCAGGTATTTATGAGTATCATGGGTATTATATGTTTCCATAAGGACATTCTTGTCTTCTGTCTATAGTGAAAATGTTTAAACAGAATCTGTGTTTGTTCAAATAACAGAATAATGAGCTCATAATTAACATAATTTATGTTTTTTAAATGTGTTGCATTCTTAACACTAAATAACCATCTTTATTTTGTGGTTTCTTTACTCACTCTGTAAGAAATAAAGGTGTTGGTCATCATTCTCAAATAAAGGAGCCAAAGGTAAATGCTGTATGCTAAAGATAAAGGTAAAATGGAGTGAAGGAAGGAGAGCCAGAATTTCACTTTAGATCCTGAATGGATAAATACTTTAAGTAGGAAGAATGCAGTATAAAAATGTATTCAAAGGTAAAACAATTGCAACCTCATCAAAATGAGACACCACTTTCTACTGCACATGGGAGTAAGAGAATGCAAGACAGTATAAAGAACAAGGTGTCAAAAATAATCTCTAAGATTAATGTCATTAAAATAAAATTACTTAAAGACTTTAAGAACCGAATTACTTTTACAATTCAATTAGATATAAGAAAAGATATTTAGGCTGATGAACAAAGTTGCTGGAGTTTTAATTTATGTATTTTGTGTTTTGTAATATTATGGAAATAAAGATAGTTTATTTTTTGAATTGGAAATGGTAAACACTTAAAAAATATAATCCTTCACTAAGAGTGGAGACTGAAAGAAAAAAACAATTGAGCTTCCAGTTCAGAAAAATCAGACTATGATATTGTTAATATACATTAAGGACCATTTAGTGGGGGATTATCATGAGCCTGACACCCTCATTAGCTCATCTTCCAAAAGAAAATTCTAGACCATTATTTCTACATTTTTAAATGATGCTCAAACAACTTTAAAATGTTACATCATGTAAAATGGCAACTGTTACTATTGTTTATGATACCTGTTTAAACATATTAAAACAATGCTTTCATGTCTATGTTTTTCAGGAGTACATGTAGTGTAAGCTTTCTCATTTATGAGTTATGACCAAGGATGACTTAGCAAAATTAAGGGTAGAGTTAGGATCATGGGCCACATTCTGAACCCAGATACCTTTATACTTCATATATATTTAATAGTACCCTTGATTAAATATTATACTTCTCAAACTAGAGACAAATAAAAGAAATAGGACTATTTCAAAAATGTCAATATATATTGTATCTTTCATTATTCACACATTGAATAAATATTTTAAATAGCAAGAATGCACTATAAAAATTTATTCAAAGATAAAACAATTTCAACTTCATTATAGAGAGACACCACCGTCTACTATACATGGGAGCAAGAGGATACAAGACAGTATAAAGAAAAAGCTGTCAAAAATACTAAGATTAATGTGATTGAAATAAAATTATATAAAGACTTTAAGAACCTAATAACTTCCACGGCTGAAGCTGAAAAGTTAAGCCTGGTGTCAAAGACTCCAAGCAAAATTTCAGCTTAAAATGAGGCAAAAGACAAGGTGGAGAAAGTAATAAAAAATGTTAATTATTCCCTAGCTTAATAATAGATGATTAATTTCCAGCTTTTAGTGTACAGACTTTTAGTGTATAGAGCTAATACTGTATCTTATACCTGCAGTTTTCTAAGCCCATACATATTTAATCTCACTACACACATATACATTACTGTAACTATGTAAATGTAATGGGAATATCAATTCGACTTGTTTTCATGAACATGGAACACTTATATGCTAATACATATGTAATATGTTATATATATGGTAATTATATCACAGAATGTTATGTTTACAATACTAACAATTACAACATTCATGTCATTTGCTGAGAACAGAAAATTTGTTAGTATTATAATATAGTAAGAGAACAGTCACTATTCTGATTTTTAAAGAATCTTTTAGGCTTTATGAGCTAGGAAGTAAATAGTACAGGCAAAATGGGCATAATCTGTTTCTTCATGAAGTTTTTGTCTCTGTGGGAGAGGGTGTGTGTGTGTTATCTAAATTATCTTAGGGGTCATTTTTGTACATTCCCTGTTCAACATTAGACTTTGAATCTGTTTTCTCTATGGATGATTCGCAACCTAACAAGTTCTAAGAGCTCCATGATCCTTGTTGAAATAATATGTAGGATGGCCTTAGAAACTGCATGATTTGAGGGTATATATCTTCTCTAGAGTTCAAACAATTAACAGATAGAAGGCTTATGTATAAGCACCACTCATTAGAAAACAAATTGTCAATGTTCATTATGGAAAAACAATATTCACATCAAATCAATAAACATTTGGGTGCCCACCTAGTGTGACACACTGTGCCGAGTGCTATGATTTTAAGGCAGAGAAGGCTGAATTTCTTTAGACCTATTAAATACCTGTATAGCTCTCAGTCAGAGTGCTGAAAAGTTTCTCACAAACTTGTGAAGGTCCCACCTTGCATTTTTTTAGTAAAGTGCACCAATGGGGGTCATATTTTCTTCTCCCCTGACTTGTACATTGTATGACCTTTTAGTAATAGGGTATGATGTTACATAACCCTTGAATTTACACATATTTCTAGACACACCATAAAAGTATTTTGCACAACTGAATGTCATGTTTCTGAGGTGCTAATTTGCAATTCTGTATATTCTGTAGGTTTGGCTTCTAAGACACATGAAGAATTATTAATCACTCTGTAAAGGGACATAAACTGATAACTCAAACTTGGGACTAGTGTGGTGAAAGCTTTATTTGAAAGACAAGGGCCTTAGTGGATTGGTTACTTTATTAGGAGATTCTGAACACATCAGGACGTTATTGCTTACTTGACACTTAAACCACACCAATGATCTTTTTGTACTTTACTACACTAATTTTTTTTTTTACTTTCACTTTGAGTGGATCAAGGACCCATGGGTAATTGTGAACATTCTGTATTTTTATACATTTTTATACCCTTTGGGAAACACTGAAGATATAAAGCTTCAAAGAATTTACAAGGCACTCAAAATTATCCTGACTTTTCAGACCAGCAAAATATATAAAACTGTGATTTATGCTTCAAATTGTAATGTTGGAATTCATTCTTATATTTATTCAGAGACAATTCACTTTTTTTTACAAGATCAGGACATAAGCAATGAACAAGTAGTAAGACGGCAGAGGAAACTGAGAGAGAACCAAATGAATAACTTGGAGTTTTCTATAAAATGAAGAGGGTGAAGAAAGGAGAACATTAGCCCTACAGGAGAATTCTAACTAAATATGGAAAAGTGACATGGGACAAGAGAGATGGCTTCATCAAGTAGGTTGCTTACCATAAAGTCTGACCACTGTTTTCCATTCCGAGATGGAAAGAGAAAACTGACTCCTACAAATTGTCTTCTGATTTCTACTTGGATGCTTTGGCATGTAAACACACATACACACATATATTTATCCACGCTTATATACATATCTGTATGTGTGAGTCACTTGTGTGTAACAAAAATAATCAAAGACAAAGATACTATCAATTTGATAGGACATAGGAAGGGCTGGAGGAAGATCAGGAAAGGAACAAGGAAGAGATAGGGACAAAGAAAGGAAAAGAATATTTGATAAGTGTATAAGACATAAAGGATAGATATATAGAAAACTAAAATTTTGGCATTACTTATATGGGATTATATACCACCAAAGACAGCAATGAATTGTGAAGCTATTGTATTAAGTTCAATAAAAAATATTCCATTCAAATAATCTGAAGGAATCATTGCCAAGATATACTCCTAGCTACAAGACAAAGGAGCATTTATACTGTAAATATCTGGCAGTCTATACTTAACCATGTGATCTAACTCATCATTACAAATGCTGCATCTCATGGAACCAATGGCCAATGTACAATACTTCCTTATTATATCATTGATAAAATCCTTAGTATGATTTACTTATGGTCAACAACCAAATGCTTCCAAGTTGTAAAGTATGCCACATTAGCAGCAAAATAAAACCTCCAATAAAAGGCAGGTGGGATGATGACTGGTCAAAATTTCAATTAAAGAAATACATATAACAAAAACAGCATGTGAACTTTGAGTAAACTGAGATACAGAAATGCAAATATAATTTCATAGGCCTTCTTGGACCAGGCTTGCATCTCTTGGATGCAGATATTTTGATATTGTGGTCATTCACCATGACTTAAACTCAGTCTATTCATGATGAAATTATTAATTACATATGAAACTATATTTTATTACCTACTTGTAATGAATGCTGAAGATTTTGAATATGGGTACATATACCCCTACTTTTAGAATGAGAGAAAAGCAAATCTAGATAATAATTATCTAGATAATTAATAACTGATAAATGTAGGTAAATTATGTATATATTCATCTTACCATCTGGAGGTGGTTAGAAGATAGTTCCCTAAGACTACTATTCCCTCAGAAAAGATGAGTTCACTGAGTGAGTCTCTGCCTCCTGTGCCTTCCTTGGGCTCTTTTCCTTCTGTTGGTTTGCCTTGCATCCAACTTTGATGGGATAGTTTTTGTTTTATCTTGTCATATTTTATTTTGTTGTATTTTTAAATGGGTGAATGAATGAAATTCCTGACACTAGGGTAAAAAGTTTAACAATGAAGCTGTCATGTATACATGCTGAGAAAGAAAAAACTCTGTTTGCTCCAATGAGCATATCACACTGGGCATATCAAGAACTCCAGGACACACATGCCTCATGTTCAGGAGTAGTCAACCAACAGGTAATGAACCCCACAGTTCATTTGTGTGTGTGTGTGTGTGTGTGTAATGGACTTAGATGTTTGTATTTATAATTTTATCCATGCTTATATACATATTTGTATGTGTGAGTCATTTGTGTGTAACAAAAATAACCAAAGGCAAAGAAACTATC